TCAGAAATGCCCTGCCCAGAAAGAAGGAATCTAGAGAGGAAGTCTGACTGCAGTGGCTTTGCTGAGCTGCAGTGGGCTCCACCCAGTTGGAACTTTTCAGTGGCTTTGTTTACACCATGAGGGTAAAACCGCCTACTCAAGCCTCACAAATGGCAAACACCCCTCCCCTCACCAAGCTCAAGTGTTCAAGGTCAACTTGAGACTGCTGTGTTAGTAGTGAGAATTTCAAGCCAGCGGATCTTAGCTTGCTGGGCTCCACGGGGGTGGGATCTGCTGAGCTAGACCACTTGGCTCCCTGGTTTCAGCCCCCTTTCCAGGGGAGTGAACAGTTCTGTCTTGCTGGTGTTTCAAGTGCCACTGAGGTTATGAAAAATAACTCCTTCTGCTAGCTCAATGTCTGCCCAAACGGATGCCCAATTTTGTGCTTGAAACCCAGGGCCCCAGTGGCATAGGCACCCAAGGGAATCTCCTGGTCTGTGGGTTGCTAAGACCGTGGGAAAAGCATAGTATTTAGGCCAGAGTGCACCATTCCTCACAGCACAGTCTCTCCCAGTTTCCCTTGGGTAGGGGAGGGAGTTCCCAGACCCCCTGCATTTCCCAGGTGAGAGGCCACCCTACCCTGCTTCTACTCATTCTTTGTGAGCTGCACTCACTGTCTTACCAGTCCCAGTGAGATGAGGCGGGTATCTCAGTTAGAAATGCAGTAATCACTTGCCTTCTGTGTCGATCTTGCTGGGAGCTGCAGACTGGAGCTGTTTCTATTTGGCCATCTTGCCAGCCATCCCTCTCTGCATAATTGTTTTTTTTTTTTAGAACAAAATAATGATAAATGAATAACTTAGAAAATATTCTTAGTGAAAACTTGATTTTTTAATGTCAGCTCTGTTGTAAACTTTCTCCTAGTAAGATGGGAATATTTAACATAATTAATAACCCTTTGATCCTACTTGTTTTTGACTCCTTTCCCATGACTACCACTACTACTACACCTAATTAACCTGGTGACAGCTATGGCATAATAAATTCCCTAAGGCAATCCCCTAAGAGATTCAGAAATCTCTTCAGTGACTGCTGATGTAATGGAATGCCCTTGAACTCTGGAAGCATGCTGCCCGTGAGCTAACACCCACACTGCAGCCAAGAGGAAGCAGCAGGGCTTGACTGAAGAACTCCAAGATCATCCATGCGCCTTCTAGTCACTGCCTCCTGTATTCCTGACACAAATGCCAAGTACAAAACAAGGGCTGCTTCCCCGGCAGGAGCTTGGGAAAATCTTCGTTCAGTATCACAATATGCACATCAGAGGAGGAAAACCCAAAATGTGTCACCGTCTCTAAGAAATAAGAGAGGAAAGGTTTCATTTCTGCAAGATAAATACTTCTGTAAGTAAATGTAGATATTAAGGGTAATCTTTAGTAGTTTCTGAAAGCTAAATAACTTTTAAAATATGCAATTGCTCATTTTTCTATGACAAGTCTAAAACAAACATTGTTAATGAGAACAACCAGATGTTAAAACAGTTCATTCCGTGGGCCTCTTTTTGCAGGGTACCTTGTGAGAGAAAGTTCTGCTCATGAGGGCCCTTGCTTTGTGGGATTCACCATAACTGGTCCCATGCAATGGCAGCATGTGGTTTCCACATACACACTGCTTCCATAAACATTTTAAAACATGGCTAATTTTTTGTGGAGACAGGGTCTCACTATGTTGCCCTGGTTGGTCTCAAACTCCAGTTCTCTAGCATCCTCCTGCCTCAGCATCACAAACTGCTGGGATTACAGGTGTGAGCTGCCGCACCTGGCTGTGCATAGTGGTATGTGCCTGTGGTCCTAGCTACTCAGGAGGCAGAGGCAGAAGAAATGCTGAATCCCAGGAGTTGGAAGCTGCAGTGAGCTATGGTTGTCCCACTACTGCCTATGGTCTGGGCAACAAAGGGGGACCCTATCTGAAAAACAAAATGAAAACCAAAAAACCCCACGTGGAACACCATATTTCCATTAACATACTGCATTGCAAAACAAAGACTGCCTGTACTTGAATTTTAGTTTTATTACTTTAGTTACAGGAACAGCTCGAATTACGAAGGCAAATATTTTACTTTGTCTTTATCAGTTCGTAAGTACAGTGCTGAATGCAAGTGCCAACATACCGTGATCAACTCTGGGACCTCATGTATGGGAACTATAACTCAAGGTTAAACAACAACAAAAAAATGGTGTTTCTGAGAGGAAGCCTTTACAGCCTGAAGCTATGGGATAATTCTTTCACGAGGGGAAATTCTGAGGGAAAATTTCAGTGGAATTTGTAACAGGATGCCAAGCATGTAGACATACACATGTCCAGACATAAGAAGCAGATACATGTTCCCACTGGGACCTGTCCCAGCTGCACCTGGAGGCTCAGCCTTGACTCTCTGACTGGGAGGTCTCAGGCATGTCCCACGTCAAGCAATTGTAGTCAAGTTGAATTCAATAAGGAGACTTAAATCAAGAATGAAATTTAAATCAGCCCAGGTATGTGTGTTGCCCCACTGAGAATGCCTCACTGTCTTTCAATGACTGTTTATAGCTATGCCATCACAAAAACTACACACTCAGTTTTTGTCCTCAGTTCATGACACAGAGCTCCTAAACCACTTGGAATTTCCGAATGATTAATGGGCCATTTTCAACCTAATGGATGCATGTGGTGCACCCAGGATAGCTTAAGGACAGGGTCTAGAGGTGGAAAGACCAAACATGTTACTAGAACACTGGGGCCAGGCGCAGTGGCCCATGCCTGTAATTTCAGCACTTTGGGAGGCCAATCGGGTTTGATCACCTGAAGTCAGTTTCAGAACAGCCTGGCCAACATGACGAGACCACCTTTACTAAAAATACAAAAATTATATGGGTGAGGTGGCAGGCACCTGTAATCCCAGTTACTCAGGAGGCTGGGGACAGAAGAATCACTTGAACCTGGGAGGCAGAGATTGCCATGAGCCAAGATCACACCACTGCACTCCAGCCTGGGTAACAGAACAAGATTCCATCTCAAAACAAACAAACAAACAAACAAACAAACAGCCCTCTCTTCATCTCCAGGAAGGGAGTAGTGGCATGGATTGACTTCAAAGAGCCATGGTTAGTGAAGGCATCACTAATGCCTATGTAAAAAACCTCCATAAAAACTCATACATCAGGGGTCTGGGGGCTTTGTGTTTGGTGAGCACATGGAGGTGCTGGGACAGTCAGGTGCCCAGAGAGGGCAGGGGAGCACTGCACCTACATGCTGTACCTTGCCCATTGCTTTGCTTCCATTTGGCTGTCCCTGAGTTGTACCCTTCACAACAAACCGGCAAGTGTATCAAAGTGTTTTCCTGAGCTCTGTCAGTCATGTTAGGGGATTATCAGATCTGAAGAGAGGATTGCAAGAACCCCTGAATTTTTTTTTTTTTTTTTTTTTTTTTTTTTTTTTTTTGAGACAGTGTCTCGCTCTGTCACCCAGATCTGGAGTGCAGGGTTGTGTTCCTGGCTCACTGCAACTTCCACCTCCAGGGTTCAAGTGATTCTCCTGCATCAGCCTCCCAAGGAACTGGGATTACAGATGATCACCACCATGCTGGCTAATTTTAGTATTTTTAATACAGACAGGGTTTCACTATGTTGACCACCCTGGTCTTAAACTCCTGACCTCAGGTGATCTGCCCACCTCAACTCACAATGTGCTGGCATTACAGGTATGAGCCACCACATCTGGCCAAGAACTCCCAATTTATAGTCAGTCAATCAGAAGTACAGGCAGGTCGCCCCTGGAACGTGTGATGGGCATCTTCACTGGGTGTCTTGTGAGACTGAGGAGTTAACCTGTGGGGTCTAGGCTGACCCTAGGTGTCAGCGTCAGAATTGAAGTGAATCGTTGAATGCCAACTTGGCTTCAGAGAATCAGAGGTCTGCATACTGAGGCACAAGTACTGGCTGCCTCTATTGGTTTTAGGTACTAAGTTGGACCCTATGCAAAAAAAAAAAAAAAACCCAGGTCTTTAAGACTACCCCAGCTTTATTGGGAAGGAGGTTTCTGAGTAATTTCCCTGGGCTTGTGATTGGTGTCACTGGTTAGCAGTGAGAGGTGAAGTATTAAAAAGACCTCTCACCAAAATGTTCCTCTTCATAAATTACTGAAATCCTTACACACAGGAACCCAGCGGAAGGAGGCATTTGCAGGGACTCCCCGACCGATGCCCTCCTCAGCTGCTTACACTTATATCACCAGTGAGAGCTCCCCTTTCAAGGGTGCCTTGCTGTAATTCTAGAATGTGTACCTGCAAATCATTCAGGCCAAGGACTCCATCTCAGCAGTAATAGAGCTGTCAGAGGAATTTGGAGCCAGGCCTGGCCAGCCACTATGAGCGATCAGCTCTCTAAACCCTCTACCCAGGTCACCTGAGAAGGAGGCTCATATAACAAGAGGGAGCCAAGAGCTGCAGTGCAGGACAGGAGGTGTTATAGAATATAAGCCCACCAGCTGTCACTTTCCAATGGAGAAATAGATGGAAGTGCAAAAAACCCAGTTGGCCATAAAAACCCAATGTCACTACATAAGCAAAAACTCTGCAGCAAACGATGAGCACTCTATATGCAGTTGGGAAGGGGACGTCAGTTTTTGTGATTTACATTTATACCTTAACGTTAGAACCTAAGCCCCACATCAGTAGCATCGCCGCTTCCTTGGAAAATGTCTGAATAGGCCTTGTTTTGGTACTATAACCTTCTCAGACTGTCCGAGACACAGTGGATTCTGGCTGAGTCTCCCTGGCCTGGTGACTTAGGTGTGGCCAAGATTCCTCATAAAATCTTACAACCAGACCACCTCCCTGCCCACATACCCAAGTTCTAGGGAGCACTGCAAAGTGGCCTTCAATAGCACAAACCACATCTTTTCACATTTGGCAAACACTACATTGATATTATGTGGTGGAATGTGGTCGTGGAACGCCGCCCGGGTCACCAGTACCCGCTTACCTTCTCCATAGCAGGAGGGGGAGAGAACCTAGTGCACAAGCTAGGAAGATGTTGGGGTCTGGCTTGCCACGCTGCACTTCGGGGTCATCTCCCAGCATGACATCGGTAAACAAGCTGACGAACTCCTTGTGGCGGCTCATCTTCATCTTGAACGATGCGGACCCCAATTTGGTGGCCTGGGCAAAGGGGATGCCTTGTTTCTGACAATTGGTTTCTCAGCTCCTGGGGAGGAGGAGGGAAGGAGTGTGGTGAGGAGTGAGGCCTCCACCACAAAGCCTTTTTCCAGGGATGGTCCCTCCAGCTGTGTGGCAGCACACTCTCAGGCTGCCTCTTTTCAGGAATTTTGGACCTAGGACAGACTGTCTAAAAGGGATTGTCAGCTCCAACATATCCCTGCACAAAATAAAACAAACCAAAAAATCAAAAAAGCTGTTGAGGGCTGAGTGATGCACTTCTCAAAGGAACAGAAGAGGAGTGCACTGGGAGGCACTGCTGCTTTGTCTACTGGGCCTCTTTATGAAACATGGAGAAGGGCAGGTAGCAGGCCCAGGAGGTAACTAGACCTGGGATCTGGACAGGGCACAAGGAAGGCCCGCCCCACAGTGGGGCCTTGCTGAATCATATTTTTATTCCAAAGCAGCAAATACACAAGGACTGTGCTTTTGGTGTTTTCTGCAAAACCGCTGTACTCTGCAGAAAACATTTCAATCATTCCTCATCCTGCTGAGAAGAGGAAATAATCACACAACGTCCTCCACCAGACACTGAAGAAGCCTGCGGCTGAGGGACAGCTGTAGCGCTACTTAACAAGGGATTGGGACAAAAGAAAGCTGCTGAACACAGCTGATCAACAGCAATGTGCCATATGAAAACAGCATCCTCAATTAATGACAGGGACCGCATGGGTTAATGGAGGTCGTCATAGAGCCAATTATGAGAGGACTAGTTGTCAGAAAGAATAAAAAATACCAGGAGTCCTTACCACCTTTAACTTATGCTGACTAGCACATCAGGAACATGTAAATCCATACAAGGTATAATGGTTTGTCTAAAATTTTATTTTAAATCGTCATATGATCATGTCTATTTTAATAATATCACAACCTAATGTCCTTACTGTATCAATTGTTACACAAAAGAATCAACACAGTCATTTTTTCCAAACAACTAAAGCCATTCAAAGTAAGGCAACAGATATCTGCAGCACCTAACAGGTGAGATAATCGCAAATATGTCAGTTCATCAATAAGACTATTTATAATCCTAAATATAATCCTAAAAAACACCAAATAGCAGATACATTTATTCAAAATGAATAAAGCAAAAACCAATAGAAATGAATGGAGAAACAAAAATGTAGAAAAAAGTTTAAAACTCGTCTATGAAAAACTGATATAACAATTAGAAAAGAATTCTCAAAAATATAAAATACTTAAAATCAGACAGAATACCTTCTATAATGATGACAGAATTAAAATAAACATTAATAACAGAAAGGAATTTGGAAAGCCAGAAACATTTGGATGTTGCACTTCTATGTAAGGCATGTGTCAAAGATGAAATCACAAAGGGAAACTGGTAGTATTTTGTAGAGAATCAAAAACTATCAAAATTTCTGAGATGTAGCTAAAACACTGTTTAGAGGAAAACTGATAGCACTGAGTGATATGTTAAACAATAAGGTCTCAAATACGTGATCTAAGTTGACACTTTAAACACCTTAAACAAAGTTCAGTGATTTAAGCTTTTACCCCAAGAAAGTGAAGTAAAAGAGCAAATTAAACCCAAAACAAATAAAAGGAAGGAAATAATAGAGAGAAAATCAATGAAATAGAAAGTAGAATACAGAAAACCAACTAAACCAAAAGTGAGTTCTTTGAAAAGAGAAATTAAATTACTAGACTTCTAGCTAAGCTGATCAAAAAATAAAGAAGATCCAAATGTACCAATATTAGCAGGGAGAGAGAGGACATCACTACAGATCCCAACATCAATAAAAAGATAAAAACTTAATTATTACAGGATTAATCGTAACACATTTGACCATTTAGATGAAATGAGATAATTCTTTAAAGATATAAAACTCCCTCAAGAAGACACGAATAACCTGAATAGCCGTCTGCCTATGAAAGGAATTGAATTTGTAGTTAAAAACGTTCCCACATCTAGGATCAGATGGCCTCGCTGGTAAATTCACCAACTTCCCAAGAAAAAAAAAACAATGCCAATTCTAAATAGACTTTTCAGGAAACTGGAGGGAACACCTCTAAACTCATTTTACATCAGCACTTCCCTGATCCCAAAACTAGACAAAAGCCAGACAAGAAAATTACAGATCTTGGCCAGGCGCGGTGGCTCAAGCCTGTAATCCCAGCACTTTGGGAGGCCGAGACGGGCGGATCACGAGGTCAGGAGATCGAGACCATCCTGGCTAATCCGCTGAAACCCCGTCTCTACTAAAAAATACAAAAAACTAGCCGGGCGAGGTGGCGGGCGCCTGTAGTCCCAGCTACTCCGGAGGCTGAGGCAGGAGAATGGCGGGAACGCGGGAGGCGGAGCTTGCAGTGAGCTGAGATCCGACCACTGCACTCCATCCTGGGCGACAGAGTGAGACTCAGTCTCAAAAAAACAAAAAAGGAAACTACAGATCTCATGAATACATATACACACCTCCACACATAAAACAATATTCAATCAATATAAAAGTATTCCACCTGAAGAGCTTCTACAGAACTTGAATTCGTTAAAAATGCTAAAATGTCACACCACTTCATTAGTTTGCAACAACTACTGATCAGTATCACAGAAGACTATATTTATGAGCTAAATTTCATTTTTAACCTTAATACAACTGGTAGATGAGATAAAAGAAAGGCTCTAATTTTTTAAAAAATAGCCAAGCATTTGTAGTAGCGCATCCTGTAATCCCAGTTACTTGGGATTCTGAAGCAAAAGAATCGCTTGAACCCAGAAGTGGAGGTTGTAGTGAGCCTACATTGCACCATTACACTCCAGCTTGGGCAACAAAGCCAGACTCCATCTCAAAAAAAAAGAACAGAAAAAAACAAACAAACAAAAAAATTGGGCAAGCATGAACTTCTCTCTGGATATATATAGTCATTAAAGCTGAGTATCAAAACAACCTGAATTTAAAACAAGATTTTAAAGTTACTGTATCACACAATTTTAAATCAACATTTTAAAAAATAATGGAGGACATTTAAACACATGGCTCTTTCTAAAACACAATGCATAAAGAAAATTTTGTTAAAGTACTTTAGTGCTATTAATTTTAAAACTTAAATACAGATTATTATTATTGTTTTGAGACAGGGTCTTGCTCTGTGATGTAGGCTGGGGTAGAGTTGAGCAATCATAGCAGCCTCAACCTTCTGAGCTCAAATGATTCACCAGACAGCCTCCCGAATAGCTGGGACTATAGGTGCATGCCACCATGCCCGGTAATTTTTTTTATGTTTTGTAGAGACAAAGTCTCCCTTTGTTGCCTAAGCTGATCTCAAACTTCTTCCTTAAGCAATCCTCTTGCCTTAGCTTCTCAAAGTACTGAGCTCACAGGAAGAGCCACTGTACCCAGCCAATTTTTTTTTTAGCTTATCCTACCATTTTTATTGCTGTGAATTCTTTCTAAGGTACCAGCTTCTCCTCTACACAAGATCAACATAAAAGTGCAAATGATATAAAGACTGGGAAAGAGTTTCGGTTTTCAAATCCGTCACAAATAAGAGTAGAAAAGTATGCTTCTTTTAAATAATTCACATGAATTATTGGATTCATTTTGCCTTATTCATTCAACAATAAGGCAATAAGTTTCTGTTGATGTTGTCGCTGTCAATAATATGAAATATTAAAGTCTTGCTCTTACAGTCTACCCTCTAAGGAATCCTCTAGAAAGGAGAAAGTGAGAATTTCCCTGTATTCTTGTGTCGACTATGCCATGGAGATGAACGGTCTGCAGAAGTGGTGCAGAAACCGCTTCAGGAGAGCAGGCATGGTGCAAGGCGCTCCTGACCCCACTCAAACTTGCCCATGACACTGGGCCCAAGTCCCCAGGACCCAGGTGCTTGGGGGGCAGGAGAGACAGCTCTCTTCCCTGATAGGGTATGTGATCCTGTTGGAGCTAGGGGAGATGCACTTATCCAAACACTTATGTGAAAACCCACATTTGTGTGTACTCACCACAGGCTTTCTACCTCATCTGCACAGGAGCTTTGCCAAAACACAACTCCAAAATCCTTGAATGGCTTCTCACCATTTGAAAAAGAATAACTATGGTTGTACATGGTAAAACGCCTACAATATAAAATTTACTGTTTTAATGATTTCTCAGTGTACAATTCTGTGGCATTTGGTACATTCACATTGTTGTACAGCCATCACCACTTCCATGTCCAGAACTTGTTCCTCTCCCCAAAGTGAAACTCTGTCCCCATTAAATGCTAAAACCTCCATCCCCCTCCCCCAGCCCCTGGTAATCACACTTCTATTTTCTGTCTCTATAGATTTGACAACTCTAGGGACATCGTACTGAGGCAGAATAGGGTCTGGAGGCAGGGAACCGAAGGCCAATTCATGCTGACTTCACAGAACTCAATCAAAAGGAAAACCTCAACTTTCCATGCCCAAGTAACAATAGGACCAGATGCTATTACATTTGCAAGCCTCTCTCACCTTCTCTGTGTGGCAGATGGAAAATTCAAAGTATCTCTCATTGGTTGCCTTGTGCAACCATTTCCACTACTAGTGCCAAGAGGCTGTGAGCGGGTGCAAGAACTCAGGGCAAGCTGGCAGTGCTCCACAGCCTGGCTGTTCACCAGCCAGGCACAGCCCTCCCCATTCCCTCATCCTGACTGCAGTGTGCAAAGAGTGCTGGCACATAACACCCCTCAAAATCTGTCTGTGCACCTTCACACTGTGGTCCTATGCTGTGGGCACACGCCTCCCAGAGGGGAAGTGACTGGATTCAACCCATTGCGGTCATTTATCTACTCATTTCCCCTCCTTTCAGTCGAGAGGTCCTTGTGGTAACGATTTCTCTCACTCATTTTCTTATGGAAAACCACCACACATTTAAAAATAGACACTGGGCCAGGTGTGGTGGCTCATTTCCATAATCCTAGCACTGTGGGAGGCCGCGACAGGAGGATCACTTGAGTCCAAGAGTTTCAGACCAGCCTGGGCAATATAGTAAAGCCAAGTCTCTA